TTGCCATAAAGACATCTCCGCCTCCCTCCAAGCCTTCTTCTGTCTCTCAAATTCCCTCTTTCAGTGAAAGGCTTTAACCCACCTTAGAAACACAAGCATTGTGTTTCTCACCCCTTTCCCTGAGCGCTGACATCTTTCCAGACAATTACTGAGGCCTGGTAATTACCATCTCTGATTTAATTGGGGCCCTCATCTCAGTTGGCTTATTTCCTTAACCTTCTAATTGGTCTCCTGCCTCCAGTCACTCCCCAGCCGAGGTCGCCCTGCACTCCTTCACTGACAGAATTATCTAACTACACATCTCTTATCTGACTAAAAACCTTGGCTGGCTCCCCTCTGCTTTCAGCCTAATATTCAAACTTGTTAACATAGAATTCAGATTTCTCTCAGTCTGATTGTCTCTCGCTACACTCCCATGCATCTCATTCTTCAGCCGCACTGGGGAAGGCACACGGGGTACTTGTCGCCACGCTTTCTGACCTGCTGTTACCAAGTCATTTCCATACTTCTGTGGGAGAATTACTGGCTTTCCTTCTAGTTATATCTCAGACGTTACGTATCTTCCTTCCACCCGTCCCCACATGGAACGAAGGCTGCTTCTCTGTCCTCCTGTATGCCTTGTCATATTCCACCAGTGTGCACTTACATGCTTACATGTGTAGCTGTCCCCTGCACGTGAGTTGCAAGCAACTTAAGGGTCAGGCACATCCCTTTAGTCATCATTTTATTCCCTAGCATGTACTGGATACAAGTGGAATATAAGCTGCTTGAAAGCGACAGTCTTTATGGCTGGCATACAGTTGGTATCTACTGAATATTTGTTGAATGGGTGAGTAATCAATAAATGTTTGAGTTAGCAAGGGTAGAATGTATGGCTCAGATACAACCAGTGCACGTACCCCATTTGTTGGGCGTGTGTTCATCACAGTGCTGGGAGTGTGTGGTTGTGGTCTTGTGCCTTACAAAGTAGGGATGGGTTCTTGATGATACCTGGCTTTCCAGAACACTTATAGTGTATGTAAGTGTCTTAATCTTGTCTCGTATCAGGAGGCTGGATCACTTTTATTAAATATTCATATGGAATGTTCACTATCTGAATTGCTCCTGTGAAAAATATACTACTTCATCGTAATTTTTAATTATAGTAATCATTCCCCTTCCTTGGTTATTGAAAATTACAGCTAAATCAAAGGGAGGATTGAATTTGAGGAAAATTGAATATGTGGTTAACAAAAATCCCTTTAGCTATTTTCTTTTCTGGGCATATAGCAACACCTAGTGGCTTTACAGATTATTTCAGAGGCTATTTCTAGAAACAGCTTCTTGGATTTTTTTCTCCCTTGATTTAACCACTGGTTATTTAGTATCTTTTCTTTTCTCTTAATTAATGAAAAAATATCTTTGATTTCTTATGTTATATTTAGAAAGTAAACTGGCTCTAGTATAGGAATGGATACCAAGGAATTGATGTTTATCCATAAAAAGTGTGCCCCACCTAATAAAAATAAGCAATTTAAAGTAACTTAAATGCAAACAGCAAGGCAAAATAGTGCACAGCACAGTGTTTTAAACATTTCACTGCATCTGGGATGCTCTGATTAATGATACTACTCAGATAGGAGCCTTTTGTGGGAAACACCCTCTCCCTTTCACATGGATAGAATTCTGTATTTCTTTATCAAATGTGTGTATATATATCAGTGTATGCACAAATATACACATTTTATTGGATGCCTTATTTATCAAGCACTCAAGAATGAATTCTACATAAATACATTTGCCATGTCTTTGAACCATTTTTACATTTTGAAGTTTCAGATAAAAATGTCTAACACGTATCACCCAGATTCTGCCTTGTTAATGAAGAATATATTTTATAATTATACTTACCTTGACAATTTAGGATTATAGTTGTAAATATTCATTATTGCATTGAGCTGATGCCTTCAGGAGAATTTGGGGGGCTATTTGCCCTACTTTAATTTCTTTTAGACAGACTACGATGCTTTATGAAATTTTTGTATCTGTTCTTTACAGTTTTTCTGTCTTCTCCTTCTGTCTCATCTTGCTGCTGGCATTGTTTCTTCCCTTCCCAGCCCTCTTCCTTTTTCTTGTCCCCACTCTTGGCCCCTTCTGATTTGCTGCTTCTGTTCTTCTGTGGAGTAGAGAGTCAGGTATCCAAGTCAGGTAACTGCATAGCTTAGCAGTAACTCAATTTTCCTGGCTCCTAATTTTGTGCCATTTCTATTATATTATACTACACTGAAGATACATGTTAAATTCATAGTGCTTTAAAGTAAGCATAACTAGATTTTGAGAGAGGACATGGTTCATTAGAGTGAGAAATGCATAGCCTTAGTGATTCTACAACTGCTATTTTAACTATTGGACAGCCTTTGTTGTACTTCCTGGCCAGGTCACTGGGATTCTTTTTTTTTTTCTTTTTTTTTTCTTTTTTTTTTATTTCAGGATATTGTGGGGGTACACACATTTTGGTTACATGTTATGACTTTGCCACACCCAAACCATGATTTGAGGTGTGCCTTTTCCCCCCTACAACACTCACCACGTCCATTAGTTGTGAGTTTACCCACCTAGTCACACATGCATGAAGAGAATCAAGTTAGTCAACAAATATTCATTGTGCATCTGCTTTGGGTCAGATGCATGGTGAGTACAAACACACATGCATAGACTTCTTTGATTGTATAGTACAATGACATAACGTGCAGAGTTATAGATGCCTTGATAATTACATCTGAATTTTCCATTCAAATAGAAAGTTTTATTTAAGACCATCCATCCTAAAGATTTGTAGAGGGTGTCATTTGACTCTTAAACTTTATGACTTGAGGTTGTTGTGGCCAAATAATCTATAAATGACACTTAAAAGAAAGTTGAATTTTCTTCTTGCTGTTAAAATGAACTCTAAGCCATAGGGTAACTTACCTCCTCATAAATGGTAACTGTTTCTCATGCGTCATGGGATCTAAAATAAGAATATATGTTATATAGACTTCATGTAATGTAACTACCCTAAGTGATAATATATTTAAGGCTAAATATCTTTTATAGATTTGTTACGTGTACACCTATTTTATTAAAGTTTTATGAAGACATTTTGTAATTTTAATTTAGTTCTAACCTTAATTTTAAATCAAATTTTGATTATTTACCAAATTATCTAGGAGGCAAGCACATAGGATTTCTTTATAAACCAGGGAGGTGTTGATTTTCTTTTATTATTTCTAAATTATAAAAGATACATTTTGTTCACATATTCCTTCCAATAAAAAAATTCCCAGTCTTTTGTGGCTACTAGTTTCAGGACTTGTTGGCTTTCTTTTTAGTGCATTTTGTGTCTCCTTGGTGGGACATTTGGCACAACATGTCAAATAGTCAAGTGACAATAAGGGAGTTAGGCTTTGCAGCCAAACCACAGGTGGCAAATTAATGAAAGCTTTTGCAGCTTCTCTGTGGTGCTTATCACTTGGGAGAAGGTGGCCATTACTCTTTAAAATCCAAAGATGACAATTAAAATTTCAAATGCTTGCTCCTGCCCAGTGGCCTGTGACACAGTTAGAGAAACATATCCCCAGAGTCTAATAAGAGGTTCAGTGAGAAACTGTTTTTAGGAGCATAGCCTGACTGGCAGCTCTTTCCTTAGGCTTTACCCATGTAATATAATCACACGCAGCTATTAAAATTACATTGGAAAATATTTAACGACTCAGGAAAATTAATGCTTTGTTAAGTTTAAAAAAAAAAGAACATTCTCTAACTGTAGTACAGTACCTGATTTTTGTTGAAAAATTTACCTATTTTTATTTTTTGAATTTTTGACAGTAAACTTGAATTATTTTGCAGTCAGAAAACAAATTATTAAAAGCATTTGCAACTTCTATTTTTCCTTTAAAGTGAAATATAACTTTTTTCTAGACTCCCTAACTTCATCATTCAGGAAAGCGGGGCAGAAACACACTGATTTAGAATTTAGTAAACCTGTTATCACAATTTTTATTAGTTCATTCAACAAATACTTGTTAAATATACACATTGTGCCTAGACAGTGTTGAGAATAACAGATTAAAAAAGGCCCCTGGAAGAGGACATACAATAAACACATATGTATGTCTTGTGTTAAGTGTTCATTAAAGAATGATTATTGAATGTTTGTGAGGGAAAGTATCATTTATCTCTCTGCTCCCAAATTCCCTTCATCTATAAAGAGAGAGGGGATTATATCAGAGGAATAGTGAAATCCTTCCTTCTCTAACATTTTGAGCCTCCTACGACTTTTGAATTACAGTTGACTACCTAAGTGATTATGTCACCCAAATGCAGAAGTGCATCAATTCTAGCATTAAGATAAAAGAGGAAAAGTATATCCTGGGAATAGTACTTGATTAATAGAATTTTTTTTAAAGTGACATTTCCATAACTGTTGTTGATAATGAAAATATCAAATAGTAAATAATACAAAAGAAAATATGTATTAGAAATTTTGGTAAATACTAATCTTTGTAATATTGGCTTATGTATAAACACATGAAAACCCTAGAAATCAAGAATTCGACATAAGTTTTGTTTCTCCACAAGTCTTATATTATCAGATTTCACTTATGTTTTCATATATTTAGGTGATATGAAATAGTGAGGAAACACGGAATGTGAAAGAAGTAGATGTTTTTTAGATTTGGTGGCAAAAAGCCAAAAGATCAAATAGGTGACTTTGTAGAAATTTCTCTTAGGTGAATATTGACCTTTCTAAACTGCATTGTTCTGTCCATCTTCTCCTACTTATGGTATTAATATTTAGCAGCTAAATGTTCACTTGTATAAAACTGCACAATAACTACTTTTTTGTAACAGTATTGCCTCAAATTGGGGAAAATAAAACCATTCTTTCCTTAAGATAAGAACGTTTTAGGTCACATCTGTCTCTGTTATCTTGCAGAAGCTATTCCTGTGATGCCTCATGCCACCTTTCTTTGTTGCAGATATCCTCTGGCACATGCAGGCCTGACGTCCCAGAATCCCCTGAATTGCGTCAGAAGTCACCATTGTTTCAGTTTGCTGAGGTAATACATTGCAATTTATACTGAATTCATGAGGAAATTATAAAGTGAGCTTAAATTTGGGCTGATGATAGTAACTGAAAGAAATGAAGAACTCTACTCAGTTCAGTGAACTATAAATGGGAAAATAGAATCAAATTTTGGAAAAGAGGTTTTGGAATTCCAGAGTCCTCAGCTAAGGAATAACACATTTATGTGTTTATAGAAGCTTATTGTTAAAGTCATACTTAATATTATTACACTTAAACCTTATCACTAATTTTGATTTATGGATAGTAAGGTTAAGAATATAATTGAATTACTATTAGAACTCATTTATTACATGTTGATTTGATAAATCAGAAGACAGAATCAACTCATGGTTATTGGTTATGCATCTAATCTGTGCATTACTTTTTTTTTTTTTTTAGTACCTTTCCCCCGTCTTAATTGAAACTTTAGCGTGAGATTGGCAGTTTCCAAAATCTTGCCTTTTGTCAGACCTCTTCAGCTCAATATGTCTCTTGACACTGGTTCAACAAGATGATGTAGAAAAGCACATTATCCTTTATATCAAGTCTAAAGGTTAAGACTGCTTCCCCAAATATCTTTATTTACCCTAGACTCAATATGAGCCCTCATTGATCAATTTTTTCCTTAAACTTTAAGCCACCTGGTCTTCCCTTGATTATTTGAATTGTCTTGCACTAGACATTTCCTATACTGTCATCCTTCCTGGCATTTGCCCATCATGCTACAATTTTGCACAGAGGGAGCATATTTTTAATTTCAGATTTTTTACCCCTCTAGTTTCTTTCTTGGTGGTTTTCTCAACATTTTGTTGGCAAAACTGCTTTTCATACTGACACATTAGGCCATTCCTTCAATATGCCTAAATGCCTTGCTGATATCACCAGAATGCTTTGTGTGTGTGTGTGTGTGTGTGTGTGTATGTGGATATACACACATATATGTACAAATACATATATACTCACATGATACTCTTTATCTGTCACTTTTTTTTCTGCCTCTATGTGAGATCTACCATGAATTCCAATTTATTCGTACATTGTTTCCTCAAGAATTTAATATTCACTCTGGACTCCCTTTTCAACAGCAGTTATATCCATGTTAAATAAGATTGGTCCCAACTTTGAAAGCAGAGATGCTTAATGAATGATCCCTGAATCTGTAAAGATCTAATGAAATCTCTAAGATTTCATATGACATTTTGGGTGTATTAGCATATGTACATTTTTGTGGCTTCTCCAGCATACCTAAGATTCCAAAGAGATCCCTGATCTTATTGCTTTTATATAAAAAGTCCCTAATATTCCTCTAGGAGTTCATATTTATGTCATTAATTGAACTCTTTATCTTAGTATTAGTTGATGAAAACATCTTTTTGTTTAGAACTTGTGAAAGGCTTTTTAAAAAACTAGATGGATCATAATACTGGTTCTATTTTGTTCACTGCCTGATTTGATTATTAAAGAAATGTATTGTAGGTCAGGCATTTCCCCTTATATAAACTGTTTACTTTTTTTAGGTTTTATAGAGGGTTGGTAGGGATAAAAAGTAATGTCTGAAGTAAGACCTACTGAGTTTATGGTTCCTGAGACTTGATAAAAATTTCTGTGGGTTCATCTTTTCATTCTGTCACTTGCACATGGTGGTCACTTGAAATGACAAGGTTCATGGTTTGACCAAGAATTTCTACAATTTCACCATTGAATGTCTTCAAAACACTTGGTTAAATCTTATCCATTCATGATGGTTTATTTATATCTAGTTTGTTAAAATTGGATCTGGTTGATCTTTTGTCTTCTTACTGATATTTATTCTGAGAATGCTTGCCTGTCTGATTCAAAAGATGCTATAGAATTACAACGGCTTCAGCAGTAAATAAAATTGATAATTCAGTCAGTCTCTCTACTAATTCTTTCTTATCCCCAAACATCACTTTGATACTGTATCACCACGTGGCCCCATTGTTTTTCTAACCAACTTAATTAAGAGAGAAAAAGTGATTTTTGTGACTGAAGAGTTATGATTAAGGTGCATTTGTTGCTTAGTAAGTAGCCTTTCATGGGGTTGGTGAGCACAGTTGCTTGAAGAGAAAGAATTTTGTGGGACTGGGAATGGGCTGAAGTTGTAATACCCAGGCATTCTGCTCTTGTGACTCACTTTAACCCTGTTTTATAGTTGGATAAAAGCTTTGTTCACTTTGGAACCAAAATTAATAACTGACCTTGCTCTCAAAACATCCTTGAAAAGTATTTCCTCACAGTCCTCTGAGCAAAGTTTTCAAAGAGAGTATCATAATTACCAAGTGGAAACTAAAGGTCTCCTAATTGAATCAAGTGTGGTATGGCAGAACCTTCTATCCACAGTCAGACACTACAGTGTGTGTGTGTTTGGGTTGGATGGGAGGATGCAGGTGTTATAAAAGAAGGAAACGCTTTTTATATTTAGTGAACAATTTATCGAGTTCTGGTTTCATGCCAAGTAATGTATTTTATGGCTTATTGTTTTTCCTCACCACAATCCTGTAAAATGGGGATTATCATCATCATCACCAATTTACAACTGGGAAAAATAAGTCTCAGAGAGTTTAGCTGAGCTGCCCAAGGTCATGCAGCAAGTGAGTGGCAGAGCTGAGATTCAGTCCCAGTTTCCCTGACTAACATCCTTAGGCTTTTCTCACAGTTTCACAGCTGCCTCTAAGTAGAGAACAGCCTGAAGGGGGCGGTATAGGGAAAAGAGAGAGTAACTGGCTTTACTTGCAGCCTCCAGCTTTTAATAATGTATGTTTTAATGCATTAAAATAATGAAATTCATTTCAACAAGTCTCTTGAATATGTGCTGTTTGATACATGCCTGATACTTTTACAAGGGACGTGGCAAATGAGCCAAACTCAGTCTTTTTGTTCTTTCCAGTCATCTGTTTTTAGAAACATGGCCTTTGTCTTTCCTTTATCGTTTGTACTGTTTCAAAAGGGATTGAGGGTGATGACTCATTTTTTAATCTTTATCAGTGTCTACAGTAGAAATATATGGCAGAATCTAATGGTCTGATATGGAAAAATGTCCTTGTGCATTAAAAATTGCTTGTTTCCTTTCAGATATCTTCAAGTACATCCCACCCTGAAGCTCCTGCAAAACAGTGTCAACCTTCGGCCTTGTTTCAGTTTGCAGAGGTATAGCTTTTTTTTTTAATGCTTATTGGGCTCAGAAAAGTTGTTGAGGTCAGGAATATTGAAATGGAGTTTTAATAACATATAGTGAACTTTAGGCACACCTCTTGCCTTTATTAACATAATACACATCACAGTGTTTATTGTTTTTTTGCTGCCTTTGGTAAAATCATAGTCAAATCAGCTCCTGATTTTATACCCATTTTTATAAGCATTTCATAAAGCATTCATTCAGAGTAGGCATTTACCAGTAATTTACTTATTTCATTTTACCTTGTTTTTAATTTATTTTAAAAGCTTGGAAAAACTGCTGTCAACATGAAGGCTAAAGGATTCCAATTTATTAAATTTTTCTGGTAGTGAAATTAGATGCTGTAATTCATGAATTATTCTTTCACAGCAAATGCAGTGGTGAATACGACTTGTTAAATCAGGTTAAATTAGCTTTCGGTGTGAGGTAGCTTCAGCCAGTATTTTTATTAGTGCTTAATCCCAGGCTTAGATCAGGTCAGCTCTTGCAGGATCTTAGATTGCTTCGGTTTGTCAGCCACAGAGAGAGCACATACCAACGAGTATTTTCTTAGTATGCTGAGAAGGCAAATCGGATATTCTCGATTTCGCCACAAAAACCCTGGCTTCAACCATATGCTCATTTCTAATGAGCACTATATGACAAATAATAAAATGTATATAGTTTATGAAAATAAGATGCTGTCTCCTTTAGGTCTTTCCTCCTTTCCCTCTCTATAATTCCAGCAAAAAATGCATATCATATATACTAAGCAATGTTTTATAGGGTTGAGAGAAAATGACAAGCAGGACTGTTCTATTTAATATTGATATATTGAATCACTCTATTCATTTGAATAAAGAGTGCTGCATAAATGAAATATAAAATGATATCCTTTTGGCATGAGGAAACCTAACATTTTACTTTTAAAATGAGAAAAAAATTACTTTTGGCTCTTACATCCAAAAAAAAAAAAAAAAAAATTTGTTGCTTCCTTTTGGGACACTTGTGTCAACCACCGTGACTTTACACCGTCCGTTGGCCTGCTTGTGTGTTCTCTGCCACAGTATTTGCCTTAGCTGCTGAGGGCTATTGTATAAAACTGATACAAATGTAGAATGTTATTTCATAAAGAATAATTTTATTAATCTGAATAAATTATAATTTTATTATAATTTTCCATTATGATAAACAAGCAGTTTTGTCACTGAGGGAAATAGTTTTGTTTAATTATACTTCTTTGCTTTCCTCCAGTTGTTAATATTTATTTGATGGTAATAATTTTTTCCAGAGTTAACAAAGAATTTTGACATGGTGACTACATTTATTTCTAATGTTGGTATCTGAGCCAGTCCCTTTTAGCTTTTCAAAAACATTTTTTTCAAAACAGAATTTATTTGCCATATTCTGCTTGATTAAATTCTACACTCTGTAGCTGGAATATTTGAAAGGTAGTGGCTCACCTTTGACACACCTGATATTTACATATGCATTAGCTACGAAGAGTATTCAACTTAATTTAAAATACCAGTGTGGAATATTTCAGCTGGTGCTGGTGCATTTCTAACACCACTCAGAACATGATTAAATGTTATTTAATCGATATCATCATCAGATTCATTAGGAGCTCCTGAAGCCCTGGGACAGGTCTGAGGGACCAGTCTGATGTTGTAATGGCCACTATCCTGTGATTTTGCAGAATGAGATCCCTTGTCCTTGCTGCTCAGTACACTCCTCAAAGCATGAGAAGATTTGGTCTTTGCCTCTTAATTATACTAAGTTTTTTCCTTGGGAAGAAAAGAACTTACTTGGGAGAGAGTCGTGCAGGGAGGCATTTCCAGATGTCGCTCCTCTTCTCAACAGCACTCGTCTCCCGAGGGCTCTTTTGTTTTTTAACCGTGAAATACATGTAGGATCTGAAGAAACTTTAAAAAAAAAATTGCTAATTTGAAAACTTATTAGGAATTGTTTCAAAGTATTGAAACAGGAAGGTGTATATGATGGGAAAAATCAAAATAAAATGGATAATGTAAAAAAATACAATTTCTGTTTTGCCCTGGAATCCAATGCCATCCCCCCCAATAAGTATATTACTTTTCCTAGTTGTATTTTGCATAGGTTGATCATAGCCCTAATTCCTAAGCAAATTAAACAAATTGCCACATCCTTGGTTATTTAATTGTAAATGTTATATGTGATTATACAAGAGAAGTTCATGGTTGTCTAAGTATATGTAACTTCTCTAATCACTTTCTTCATCTGACCCAAGAGAATTTATGATCTGACCACATTATCAGCTCAATACTGGACTGGTTTATTTAAAGCTAAATAAGAGTTATCCAGATAAAGTCATAAAATTATCTACTAAAATCTGCAATGAGCATATATATCGCAGTAGAAATAAAATAGGCTATAATTGCTAACTGTGGTATCACTAAAGCTCTTATAATTATTTCATAAAACAGTATCACCTTTGAGAAAACCCAAAGATTCTTGAATTTTTATTCTAATTAGTCTATAGCAAAAGTTCTCAAACTTTAATATATTAATACATCCAACTCACCTGGAAAGCTTGTTCAAACACAGATTGCTGGGCCCCACCCATAGAGTTTCTGATTCATTAAGTCTGAGGTTGAGCCTGAGAATTTACATTTCTAACAAGTTTCCTATTAGAAAACCACAGTTTGAGACAGTTGTGGGTTTTTTTAAAACCCCCAAATTATTAACTCATTATTGTGAAGGTATTTTTTAATATCTCTGGACCTCATAGGGGAAAGGTAAAGAGCAGGAGGAACAGATGTATAATAGAAAATTACCCAGTGGACCACTTTCTATTCCACATCCCTTTTCAGAGGGATTCCTGGTCCTATTATGTACACTTAGAAGACAGTGTTTATATTATTTAACAAACAATTTTTTCTTTAAAAACATTTAGATTTATAACATCATTTTAAGATCAGGCATGCAAAATTCTTAGAAACTATTTCTATTAATTTTATTTACAAACTCTTATAACTCCAGGAAGAGATTAGCTAGATCTTCTCTTGGAAATGGATCATTTATTGTGTAAAGTATTTATCCAAGAAACACACTAATTAAAAAACAGTAAGCCCTGCTAATTTCTTTAAGTTGAAAAAAAAATTCCTTCCTCGCTGAGTCATGGGTCTCTGTCTTGCAAGCTGAAAAGAAATTTTTCCTTCTTAACCAAATCTGATCATTTTAAAGCCCATTGAAGTTAACCTGTGTGAAAGTATGAAACCACGTAAAGCACATTTAGTTTGTAGGTTCCTCATGAGTGTTTACATTTAAAAGGAGAAAAATAAGGATCTAGAAAGAAATACAGAGTGCAGAGAACCCACCCGCCAGTTTCAGCCGGGCTCCTATTCCATGTTGATACTCAGTATTTCATGCAGATTCAACTTGACCCATCCGAAGTGCCATCGGGCTGTGTCTCCAGGCTCTGATTCATTAATTTGGTCAGAATGAGTTTCCTATTTGCATATTTTGTTGTTTAGAGGTAGAATGACACAGCAGTCATTTTTTCGACCTAGTTTATTAAAGACTGACCAAATATAATGTCAGAAGGGAGTTGCTGTCTTCCATTATTTAGCAAGTATAAAAGCCATGACCTAACCACATATTCTCTTCTCTGCTGTATGGCTGTTACACCTAGAGTATATCTTTGCATTAAAAAATTACATATTTACTTTGAAGACACAGCTAATTAGGATGATGTAGACCAGCAGTTCCCCACTTTTTTGGCACCAGGGACCAGTTTCATGGAAGACAATTTTTCCATGACTGGGGGTGGGGGGCTCCCTACAGCTTACCTCCCACTGTGCGGCCGGGTTCCTAACAGGCCACAGACCAGTACTGGTCCATGGCCCAGGGGCTGGGGACCACAGATTAGACAAATAGATTTAGACAGTGAAATTTTCCCTGAGGACATTTACTTTGCCAATGTAAGTATAACCATAATCTCACTAAATTTAAAATATTGTCACAATTGGATATAAGCAATAGGTACAAATTTAAAGCATTCATTTTCATGATGGAATGCCTAATATGTTACAGAATATTGCAGTTGATTAAAAACACCATATACTTACACTGCAACTAATCAGTGAATGTATTATGTGTTTTATTGGAAGCATTAATATTTCTTTTAAGTGAAGGAAGACTAGTCATCCTCATAGTGTTCATTTGTTCTTTGATTCATTTATTCATTCAATACTTATTGGTCATTTTCTCCCAGGCTGCAATGTTTATACTTCCCCTTGCAATTGCAAAAGACTTCCACCATTACCTAATTGGATTTTGATCTTTACCACCTGTTTCCCTGATGTTCTCACTCACCTCAGGCAGCCATAAAATAACCAATTTAACATCCAAGGTGATCATTTTTCTTAGTACTTTAGCTATACCTCATGTACTGTTAGACCCACCCTCTTGCTAACCTTTATGAATGAATACTGTTTATCCAAACATTACATAATATTCAAGAGCGACTCCAGTGGAGCTAACTGATTGGCAAGCACCATCCAATTTAAGAATTTCAAAAAGCCTAGCCGTGAACACACTATGCAGTATGGCCCCTCCCACCAATGCAGTAAACACACACACTTCCCTCCAGAGCCGACCAGTCATTGGAAAACAGATATTAACTATATTGTTCTTACATGAAAGTATGTATATGTCTCTGAAATAGAACAATATTGGCAGGAATGGACAGTGGTATAACAAATCAAGATAGTACAAACTATACTTGAAATTGAAGCCATCAGCATAGATGAGATTCCTGAGAGATGATGTGTAACATGAAAAGAGAGAGGGCCCGGCCAGCACGGTGGCTCACGCCTGTAATCCTAGCACTCTGGGAGGCCGAGGCGTGAGGATTGCTTGAGCTCAGGAGTTCGAGACCAGCCTGAGCAAGAGCGAGACCCCGTCTCTACTAAAATTAGAAAGAAATTAATTGGACAACTAAAAATATGTAGAAAAAATTAGCCGGGCATGGTGGCGCATGCCTGTAGTCCCAGCTACTCGGGAGGCTGAGGCAGGAGGATCGCTTGAGCCCAGGAGTGTGAGGTTGCTGTGAGCTAGGCTGACACCACAGCACTCTAGCCAGGGCAAAAGAGTGACACTCTGTCTCAAAAAAAAAAAAGAAAGAAATAGAAAGGGCCCTAGGACAAAACCCTGGGGAAAAACAACATTTAAGGGATCACTATAGAAAAAAGAGCCAGCCAAGGAGTGGCCTTGAGGGTAGGAGGAAAGCAAGGACCCTGCAGTAACAGAAGCCCAGGGAGGAGTTTTTCAAAAGAAAGATTACCACTGTCAAATGCTGCGGAGAAATTGAGATAAGGATTAAGCCACAGAAATGAATATATGTCCAGTTCCCCCTACCTACCCACCCACCCACAAATTAAGGAGTCTAAAAACATTTTTAGAAATCATATCTCTCCACTAAGTCATTCCATGAAAATTTTCTTGTTAGGAGATTCAGGAAACGTTGGACTGCTCAAATATATTGAACCTCCCCCAACACGTGCCCTTTTGGAAATCAGGCTTCCAGCAACCTTAAGCACTTAAAATACTGCTTTGTATCTATAAATAGGTAAAAATTTCCCCAGAGGCAGTGAGGAAAACTGTTTTTATTAAACATGGGGTGTCCCTTTGAAAGACAAGGAGCCATTCTCAAGCCTCCTCTCAAGACAGCTGCGTGTGAATTCTGAGGGCCTGCCTACGTGTAGTCAGTAGTTCTTCACTGAGCCTCTACCAAGAGGCTCTGCAGTGAGCACAGGATATATGGTAGTACACACCACACACACACACACACACACACACACACACACACACACTGTCTCTCTGTCTCCCCCCCTCCCCCCTTCTCTCTCTCCTCCTCTCTCTCTCCCTCTCTTTCTCTCTAAAGGAGCGGAAACCTACAGTAACACAAGCGACAGCAGAGGGAGCCAGTGGAAGAAGTAGAAAAACAGCATGTGCTATGTAGTCCAAGACTACCCAGCTTGTCATCCTTCAGTGATTCTCGAGTTGATCGCTGGATTATGTGACATTACTAATTGCTAAATTTAGTAAATGTCAACCTCAAACATTACAATTTTTAATTATGTTCAGTTTCAGTGTATAGTTTTTGGAATTGTACTAAAAAGGTGCTTATGTTTATTAGTGTTAATAGTGATAAATCATTATTACTAATAATTGTGCCATTTATTGAGAGCATAATATTGCCACAACACTGTGCTTCTCACTAACATCAAGTCTAGTCTTCACAATGTAATAAAGGGCAGATATTGTTTATATTTTGAAGGTGAAGTAAATGAGGCTCAGAGTCTTAATTATGTTCAAAAGTCCACACAGCAGAAAGTAATGAAGCCCTGTCTGTCTGGCACAAAGGCCATATTCTTTCTATTATACAACGTTAGTTCAAGGGATGGGCATTTATGTTCAGTACTTCATTCCTTTAAGTCACTAAGAGCCAGTGATATTAATGTGTTTGTTTTTTCTTAGTCTGATGATAACATGAGTAATTGAATTCAACCTGTCTAGAAACAGTAGAAGTGGCATTTATCAGTGAAAATTTGGCTAGAGGAAACTATTCCACACTTAAGAAAGATTGAGCCTGATAAATATATCTTATAAAGAAAAAGTAAATAATACAGGAAAGGACTCTATTAAAACTGATAGCACCTAGGAGGAAAGAGTCCTCATAACTTTCTTAGACTGGACTCTCTTTGGTGGCCCAGGTAGCTTATTAAATACGTGGTTCTGCAAAGGCATCTTGTTCAGCAGGTCTTCTAGGGAGAACTTCCTCTAGCAGTGAGCACTCAGTCTCTCCTGAAGCTGACAACTCCATAGGATCCCCTATGGGACTGGAGTCACCTGTAAGGTTAGCGTCATAAGGCAGGATTATTTCCTTAACGGAATTGGGAAATAGCTTCGTTTTAAATTGAGAAAGAATTTATAATCACAAAGAATGTCAAAAGCTTGGACCATAGCTAGCAACTCTAATGATGACAGAACTTCTCTAGGAGGAGAATGCTTTGTAAATATCTTTCAGAATGCATGTCCTTCTCAGCTCTTATCAAGGCTTGAAATTGAAAATGAAGTTTTCATATGAAAGTGAGAAAGGGCAGTGTCGTTCAGTTTTATCAGAGCCCAGCCACTGTTTAGGTAACTTTGCAGAAGAGTATGTAGTCAATGTACTAGTAACATGTATACATTAACAAGAGGGACATACCATAGGCCCTTAACTGTGTATCTTAGATTTGTGTTCTTCATTGTCAATCTTCACATGCACATTAGAGCATACTCTCAAAACCAGAGTCAGTGTTTCATATAAAACTCATAGCTTCCCCAGCTGCTGTCATATTGCCTTGTACATATATACTGGATTCTTAAATATCTAAATTCTTTAGATACAGGGTCTCACTTTGTTGCCTAGGCTAGAGTACAGTGGTGCGATCATAGCTCACAGCAGCCTCAAACTCCTGGAATCAAGCGATCCTCCGGCCTCAACCTCTTGAGTAGTTGTGACTCAGACTCTCACCACCATGCCAGGCTAATTTTTCTTATCCTATTTTTAGAGACAGCGTCTCAATCTGTTGCTCAGGCTGCTCTCAAATTCCTGGTCTCAGGCAATCCTCCTGCCTTAGCCTCCCAAGTTGCTAGGATTGTGGGCATGAGCCACACTGCACTCAGCTTAAAAAAATATTTGTTGACTAACTTGATGCTATTTTTCCACAGAGATCTCAAATATACCCCTTTAAAAATTGAACTAATCATTTGGTAAATGCAAAATAACTCCAAATCTCTTCTGTTTTGGCCAGTTTATGAGTTAGTACTTAAATAGAAATTGAAATGCATATCTCACTTTAAAGTTATGGAGTTAAATTTAATGCCTGGAATATGCAAGATAATACCCTTGTCATTAAACAGCTACCCAAGCCACACCTGTTTTTTTACTATTATTATTTTTGAGGTTATCTACTAAAAATGGTTCTCAAAATGATCATCCCAAGCATGACATGTTTTGAAGTTATTGGTACTTGGAAGAAATGATATTTGCATAAAGTAAGGAAAGTCCCTGAATGTGTATGAATGGGAAGCAAAGATTCTGTTATCACAATTAATATTCTTTATGTGAATTATCTTCAATATAGATTTCTTCAAACACTTCGCAGTTGGGTGGTGCTGAGCCTGTGAAACGCTGTGGAAAGTCTGCACTCTTTCAACTGGCAGAGGCAAGTTCTAAGAGTATATTGAAATAAGATCTGCAGAGATGGAAATCACAAAATATTTAATTATAACAGTGTTCCTTAAACTGTACTTTCTCTCCTGTGACCATAAAACATGTTTTATCTAATTTTCAACAGTGAGAGGGTAACCTTTAATTTGGGAAAACAGAGTTTTGCTACTAACAGTCATTAAGCTTGGAAAAGGCTACCTAGGGATATTGCAAAATCTTTTTCACGGATAGTATTTTAAAATAAAATCAGTTTTTGTCTCTCTCAGATTGGTTGAATAAGTCCAGCCCAAACACAGAAGAATAGCCTAGGTTATTTTCCTCTGCTCTGAGCATCTATAAATCTCTTGAAGGCACTACTTTTAAATCAGGTGGTTGATGTTTTAATTTCAGGTTTTTTTAGTGAAAAACTCATATGATAGATGTTAATCTGTTTTCATAACATCTATCAGTTACACGTTTGACATGACACATGGACATAAAATGCTACTATGCCATTGGCAAAGGAGAAAACGGGCTTTTATAAAGCCAGTGAAGGACAGAGCCCTCGCTTGGTGAGGAGTGGGTCAGGGAGGACGATGCCAGAGCTGTCGTTGCCAGGATGGGCGTGAGCAGTGGCTTTCTCTGCCAGGCTGTGACTGCTCTGCCTCCAGAGAACATGTGGAAGAAATGTTTTTAGCACCAGGACATTCTCATACCAATTTTCTGTATTGGTGACATAAATTAGGAAGTATCAAGTGGATGATCAAAAATCCCTTATACTAAACTTTTTTTCTTTCTTTTCTCTCATTTCTCTCGCTTCCTCGTAATGAGTTCCTTCTGAGTTCTTTTGTGAGTGATACGGTTCTTTTATAAATTCTTTGTAGTTTGTTCGACTTAATGGAATGACCTATTATTTTCTGAAATTTCTAAATTTTATGGTAATTTGTATCATAAAAATTGTGGAGTTTTAAATATCTAACATCTTTAAATTAGGTTTATGAAACTTAGCCGAGTCTAAATTAGAAATATAAAAATGCAAAGGCCTAAAATAGTCAAGTATATAAACAGTGGAACAGACTAACCCATTGTTTTCTAATACTCAGCTGACATGCTTCTTGTGTAAGACAAATTCAGACCCAGATAGAGGGCTACAAAGGACTGAAAAACTCTAAGGAAAACATTTGAAGACATCAGGGAATAGTTCTAAAAAGAGCTGCATGAGTCAGTGTAAAGTATTACTTCAAATACAATTGAAACAGTGAAGATGTGACAAAGAGAGTGTCTTTGGAATTAGAGTTGTAAACAAATCTTAGTAAACAGAGAGGCTGTGAGGCCAGGAATTGGTCTATTACCTTTAAGAACGTATAGATTGTCATAAAAATTTATTTGAAAAATGATTATTTTTCTTGGAATATATGACCCTCTGCTTTTTCTGACTATATAATTTTGTGTGTGTATACAACATATATACAAACATACATGTAGTTTCTTAAATATTAAACAACACTAAATTGTAAAACAAGCTAACTTTCAATATTTATCTTTATTAAACAGCTTTTTGTTAAAAATGTATGAACCTGTGGGGTACTTTTCTGTGGGGGAGATGAATTCATCTTCTTATTTTCTTTCTTTAGCATAGCAGTCATTAAAAAAAAAGGATTCCTTATTAAATCAGAGCTCATTAAAAAGAACACTCTTCTAATTTGTAGGGATGCATCCCAAATATGAAACAGATGCTATGGTTTAACAGATGTTTGAATGCTGGTATCATAATTTAAAGGGGTAAAATGACTGAAATAAGCCTATTCCAATTACAGCAAATCAGCTTAGTTTTATATAACTTTTGAGTAAAAATATATGCTTTTGATGACACAGGGTTGCTAAAAAAAATAATTTACAGAGAAAATCTTCTCATATTATTATTTGCACCAAGTGAATATGATGTCTTAATACTAATACAGTGTATTTTAGAATAACATCCAAAAGCTTTCCCAATGTCTAATTAAATATGTGCACAGTGGATTAATCAGCATCTTCAAATAATCACCAGTAGATATATGCTTCCTTAGTTTTTGTATCCCATGTGTATTTGATATTCATTTTTAACAAAATGTAATATTTAATTATTTCTGATACCTTTTTAAATAAATAAATATAACAGGATATTGAGAAGGACTTTTCCTGTTACCCAGAATTGATGCTGTTGTCTGACATCTGAAGAGACAACCTTCAATTCTCTCATTACAAAGGAAAGGGAAAGCCACCGAGAAACTACTTCCAATTTGGGCCAGCCCCTTCTCTTGGGACTTATAAAGAGATGGCCTAATTCAACTGTTATCCCATCCACCACTCCAGGGTTCCTCCTCTTGTCCCCACTCCAATCCGCAAGTCATCCCTAGGTGGAGGGATATCATAAGCTATCCACTCATCTGGAATATCTTGACTTTTCCGTCTGTCCCAGGGAGGAAGGGAGAGAAGTACTTTCCATTCATTATCTCTGTCCCTTGTCAAGGGAAGTGAAGCCAGTGTTTTGGAGTATGACTAAGGGCTGGAGCATAAGCCCAAAAATATTGCTATTAGTTCTAATTTATCTGAAATAATTTTAAATGTTTTTAAAAATATACTATAAATTTTAATAGATGTTTTCTGCAAGTAGGTTTTATTATCTAAACTAAGATGATAATGGCAGATGTTTGTTGAGTATCAATTGTGTGTTAGGCACTAAGTACTTTATGTGTGCTAATTTAATTCTCACAACAGTCCTCTGAGGACAGTACTATCAACATTTGTCTTTTATATATTAGGAAACAAAAGGACAAACTTGTTTCAAGTCATATGGATAGTAAGTGTTAGAGGCTGGGTAGAAACCCAGGCAGTCTGTCTCCAAAGCCCATGCTCTTAAACCCTGGGCTATTCTGTCACCTTTTTTTAGATGAATATAAAAGACCAGGCAAGTTGCTTGTTATAGAAGTGTGTGTATTATAAAAGTCTCTATGGAAGACAGCTTACTCCTACACATATATGTATGGCTGAGTAAGATGACAGATTATTCAAGACTTCTGTCAAAGAATGGAGCTCATATTTTCTTTTTTGAAAATGTCTGTACTTTTAAAACTGTCAGGATGTATCTTACACCCTTAAATAAGTACCTGTTTGTGATGATACTTTGGAAGATACTGTAAGGGCTATAGGAAACGATGATATACAACTCCTGTCCTCAAGGAGCTTATTCCCTGGTTGCAGAGAGATAAAACAAGTTAAGCTTGAAGAAATAAATAGTTCAAGTCACTTTATAAGGAATCACGCAATGAAATGATGAAATTCCACTTGAGTGATGGGTGATACACAAAGCGAATGCATGAAACTAGGAAAGGGAAAAATTAATATTAGCAAGAATGTTCTGGAGACTAAGCAGAGGGGAGAGAGCATGAAGATGGTTCTTGATGAAGGAGTTGTCTAAGAACCACTAGAGGTTGAAACTAGCAGCATTTGAGCCACACCTAACCTACAAAGATAGATTGCCACATTTTGTTGCATATTTGTTGCATATCATATTTTACATTTCAATTAGTGGCATATTTAAAAATTCGATTTCAAATAAGTACAGATTTCTGACTTCTCCTGAAAATTTTGAGGATCTGAGAATACTGGGCTAGACTTCCTCCATGAGAACAATTGGTCAAAGCTGATTAGTGGCTGCCGTCTTGGGTGTTTGCTCTCCAAAGGACACCATCCTCTCCTTTCCCTGCTGAGCCCTGACTCTGAGGACAACAGTCGTTGCCGTTATCCACTTACACTTGCCCACTTCCCTCTTATACCTGACCACCCATATACACAGAAGATTGTGACTTATGCATAATTAAACGGAGAGATGTGGGAGGTAAAGCACAGGGATAAAGGCAAGCAAAAGAGACAGGTAGATGGCAACAAGGAAATCAGATTAGCAGGAGTAGACGGCTATGCTAGGAGATTTATGGAAGATGAAGGGAAAGTGTGGCTGCAAGTCAGAATTGGAAGGGTATTTAGTACAGAGCAAAGAAATGTGTGCTTGAAAAGAATGAGGAGTCTTTGAAGATTTGCAGCAGGGGTAGGTCGTGATGAAAGTAGCACCTGGAAGAGATGCTCTTGGCAGCTATGTATGGAATGGAGTGGAAAGCGTCTGTGGACATCAGGTGTAAGAAAATAAGAACCAGGATCTGGGGAGCTGACTGTGGGAACAGGAGGAAGAAACAGATACCAAGGGGAGTCAAATGGGTTTGATGATTGAGTCAATGTGAGAGGCAAAGAAAAAGAGGAGTCAGAGATGACTTCAACACTGAAACTAAGTGTTTGACCCTGACCTTGGAGCCCTGCTTCAGGAAGCCTGGATGTTTGCAAGCAAAGGGTAAGCCCTGTTAGCAGAAAAGAAGAGCTGAAAGATGCCGGGGGAGGGGGGAAGGGATAACTAAGGAAATCCAATACTAGAAAAGTCAGGAAGGGAGGAGATTGCTAGCCAAGTAAATAGTTGAGTTTGGAAAGCAGAGACCTGTGTTACTCTGAGCGCAGATGACAGAGACAGTCACCATAGATCATCTGCCACTAAATTATGGGTGGTATTTGATTGAGGTATGACTCCATTTAAGTTTTCTGGTGTGTCTTTATATACTAGTGATGTACATTATCCTTTCCATCCTGTTATAACCTCCCTCAAGCCCAGAACAAAGATCTGTGAATCCCACATCAGCCCCTCCCATACTGTAGTCATATAAGTGCATCCTAATACTTACAGTACATTTAAGGAGACCTTTTATTTGAAAGTAGTGTGTTTCTTTTCTTATCCTTTTATACAGAGATGTGAGTCATTTTTAGAAAACTCCTATTCTAAAACTTACCATTTCATTCCCAATTGCAGAACTTCTTTTTGAATGAGCAGAAGTATAGGAATATATTTAATAACTGCCCTTAACATCTTTGGGGGAGACTTTAGCAGATGGTCTTATGGAGCAAAGGCCACTTTCATCCCATCCAGAATCTTCA